AAATAGTCTATTTCATAATCAAGTACTAGTAGTCTAATAAATTACTACAAAAACATATAAATAGAACCTCTATCCCCCACTTCTTGACCAAAAAACCAATTCGTAAAAAATACACATTTCTTATATCGCTATAAACAATACATTCCCTAGACGAACTGCCAACTTTTTCGAATTCGAGGATGAGGCACGATGTGCCGAAATAGTATTCGTGATCTGGTTTTTCGTGATGCATTCGAATGCCAGCTTTGAGGCATGTAGTGCCGAAACTGTATACTTACCTGGTGTTATCCAAAGGTACAATTTTTATAATATATATCTTTTGTATTAATTATACTTTTGGCTATCACCTTTTTTCTTCAAATTTTTCTACCCATATCCTAATTATCTGGTGTTATCCAAAGGTATATACAATTATTATATATCTTTTGTATTAATTATACTTTTTGCTATCACCAATTATGCACTATGTTTTGACGTATTACCGAACCAAAAATTTATTTGTCTCACTTTTGCATATCACCATATCAAAATTTTAAATCTTACTTTTGCGTATCACCATATAAAAAATAATGATTGCACTTTGATGTATTACTAGATCGAAAATTTGGATTATTGCACTTTTATGTATCACTATAAAATTGGATACGCTACATCAAAAATCGAATTATACTTTTGCGTATCACTTTTCCATATCAAAAAATTGGATCGCACTTTGACGTATTACTTTGGATCAAAAAATCGGATCATACTTTTACGTATCAAAAAATTGGATACCTTTACGTATTACTGGATCGAAAATTTTGATCTTACCTTTGCGTATTACTTTTACGTATTACCATATCAAAAGAATTTTTACTTTGACCAGAATCATGCGTCACAAAAATCCCCTTTATATAATCTAGATATCAAAGTATTAATTTTTTATTTGAATTTTTTCCCGCACTTATTGTAAGAGACGACAAAAATCCCCTTACCTGAGATGAATGATCAGTTAAATATAGGAATCTCCTGCCAGAGGTATACTACTAAACTAGATCATTGGTACACTGAATTAATCGGTAAATTTTGAGTTGGTATTGGCAACAGATATCGAGTCAAAGAGTTCTTGAATATCATTAGCTG